TCCAAATGAAAAAAACTCTCAATGCAACATGACCAGAAGACAAAGTCTGAGTCTAGCTGGCAACAATATGGGGAGAAATTAAAGTGGGTGGAGACCAAAGGTGCAAAAGCGTCATTACTTGAAATATCCGCACAGGAGCTTTAACTCTAAACACTTGAGAGAAAATAGTATGCCAATAAAAGCTTGTCTTTCAGCCGCTAATTTGCCAAAACAATTTCACTAAATGCTGACGTAAGTGAAACACAACTTTGATCCTCAACCTGAATCCTTTAAGTTTAAAAGAAAAAGAAACTCTAGAGGCTACAAGCACTTCAGATACCAAAGAGCTGCCAGAGATGATGTGTACAAAGTATTTTATCCTTGGAATTTCAACTTTTTATTTTTAAAGAGGAGAACATTTTTTTTTTAGAACGTCTTTAAGCTAAACTTCAGCAGGTGAACAGCCAGCTTTTTGTAAAATAAGAGAATGAAGGTTAAAGTATACAGGAAACATACCAGATTGGTATTTTTACTCTTTGGGGAAACTCATTTCACAGCATTAAGAGAGAGGTCTGTGATCGATACCCTGTGGGACACTGACCTTCACGTGAAGGGGATCAATCCCTAAAGATTTCACCCTCTGCATTGACCCTCCATGCACACATGCATTCACATTTTTATTGTCTACACAATACAAGTTAATTACACACGGCTGCTTTCACTGCTCTCTGCCAACATGCAGCAGTCTAATAAAATAAACCACCCACTTTCTTTTTTTAAAGTGTTATTTGTCGAATATCTCCTCTTTGCCCTGCAGCAGAACTAATTATCCAAAGCGGTCTAGCACAAAATTATTTGTGCATGCTCTGAGGTGCATCGAGTGCGGCGTCATATTTTGGTTGTGGGTGTGTTTCCACTCTCACATGAAGCCTTTTGGGAATGCAGAATGCCAGATTTTCCGTTTAGCTGATATTACAATTAGGCTGTAACACTGGCTGTGTTAATTACTGGGATAAAATTGTAAACAATTATCCGTATTCCAAGTTCACTATCATTTCTAACGAACTAGGTTGTACAATATCTAAAAAACTAAACTGTCTCTTATCGACCAAAATCAAAGGCATCGCAAAAAAGCTTGTGTTCATGCCATTGGTGTTGACAGCAAACCTTTGAACAGTCACTTCTCAAATGCAAAAGCATGATGCATTTAACAGTTGCTGAGTCAGCCTGTTTGGCACTGCATCACATTATCATACTTGAAAAGGCTCCCTATGGGAAAGACATATTTGATGGGTTGTTCATGAACCATATACCATTTATGAACCATAACCGAGCGCGGTTTCGCCGGATAAAGTCCAAAAGTGGAACCAGGACAGCCAAAACCTTCTAAGGATCCAGAGATGGCTGGTTTGTGTTAGGGTGCTTTCACTCTTCCACTAAACTCCTGAAAACTTCAATAGCTACAACATAGCTCACTTTATACTCAATCTTTAATTCAGCTGATGAAACAGAGTTGTACTCTCCTTTGCCCTCACAGCTAACAATAAGTAGACTGGTTTTATACTATAAGGAACAAACTCTAAACAAATGTCGAAAAATCAGCTCCCTGGAAAGCCGCTGCTCACACCACAGCTGGCCGCCCTGCGTCACTGTCCTATCATCAGGGACACTCTCTCTCTGCTAACCAGCCCACTGACTTTGAGCCAGCTGGTGGGTGCAGAAATGAGGGATGATTAGGAATGAAATAAAACTGCAAATTAAATGACTGAGCGTTGATTGAATGAGTAAGTGGGTGAGTGTGTGACTCTTGCTCTTGTTCTTGTTTGATTGTTCTTTGAGACTCCCACCTCTCCTTATTTTACAAGCAATATTTGTAAAAATGGTTAAAACAAAAGCAATTGGATCACATGTTAACTGTAAAAACTTATCAGATTAAAATCTAATAGGTCCTGGGCAACAGGTTGGTCATTAATAATTTCTAATATTAAAGATACAGGAAAGATAAGACAAAGTGTAGTGCTGTGCTCTGCAAGTTAGCTCTCCTAAAAGTGTGCTATAGTGCACTTCTACTCCTGAGAAAGCTTGTATCTGCCTATGGAAGCTAAACATTACTCCTCTCAGGGGTTTGTTGGTGGAACACACAGTTCTCTTTTGTCGTCTCCACATGATAGGACTTTGTTTCGGGGGGGCGGATGCAGAGCCAGGTTGTGTGAAGTCAGGTGTCTGGGGAGGCTGGAGACCAAGTCAGCAGATGAACATTATGATCGGGGCGGACATCCAGCTTGTGTTTTTTCACCTGGCGGTCTGTGACCAGAATAAAAGCCAGGATCTTTCTAAAAAAAAAGCACCATAACCAAATCTTTGAGGAACTTCATTAAAATGTTCAGCAAGCAGACTCTGCAGGTCTGCAATGTTTGCAGTGCTCGATCAGCATTTCTTAAAACCTTTACTCATGCTGTTACTGGTACAGGAGGAGGTCGGCTGAAGAGTAGTGAGTTGATAATTGTTTCCTTGATATTGATGTCCATTAGATAGATATACAGCACCCTGATCCTCTCAATCCCTCCACTTGGAGACAACACCTGATCCCTCTCCTTTCCCACAGCGCTGAATCTACGATTCCCAGCACTTAGCATTGATTATTAATGGAAGGTTTTGAAATGAGAAGGTGGGGGAGGGGGGGGGGGATCTTAGTCTTTATGAATGCTGACGTCTGAGGAGACCTGTCTGAGGTCAAGGGCTGGTCACTTCCCAGAAACCCTGCTGATAGAAAATGCATGGCTTGTGTAATAAATCCCTGCTCACCTTTGCATGGTCACAGGGTCAAAGCAAAGTTTGAGGACAATGACTGAGCTTGTTTTTGCCTGCATAAATATGGGTATTGATTACAACTGGAGGATGGGGATTTACCTTCATGTATCAGATGAACTTAGGAGAGCTTGAGAGTCCAGGGACAGTGGATTGTGTTGCAAAAAGTAGAAGGGCAAGGTTTTCAGCATCATAAAGATTAAGTTAGATTATTCTTTTTATGCCCCAAAATGTAAGATTATCAGACATTTAAGTTGGTGGTCAAATCTGCCTTCAAACAAATGAATGTCACAATTCCAACAAGGACACACACTGCAGATCTTTTGATTAAAGGTCACATATTATTCCCCTTTTCAATAATTTTCAAAAAGTCTCAAAGCTCCCCAAAACATGTCACATTTTCTGATAAATTGAGCAGGCAGAAGACAGAGAGTATGGACTCATAATTAGGGGGTTTGTAGACAGACTAGAGACACATATTTATGTTAGAAAAGCATAGGGAAGTGTATTTTACATAATACTGTATGTGACCTTTAAAAAGTCCTAACCCATATAGAACTAGATCTCGGCACAAAGTGTTACGAGCTGCTTTAAGGTTTAGAGAAAGTGACATTGTGCCATGTTTTAAGGTATCAAATGGTTTCCATGTGTCTCATTTCAGCACCGCCGGGTTGTAAAGTGTCAAGTTGTCATGTAAATCTGAATGTTAAATCTTTCACTTTCAAGAATTATTAACCGTGTATCAAACAGAAACGTACAGAGAATTCCCCACAAGGTTTGTCAGCCTCCTGTGCTTTCGGATACTATGAGTTTTGAATGATATAATCTCCATTATGTTATTGGTTCATTCTCATGACATTCAAACCCTAAAACTAATCAGTTTGAAAACTTCTCCATTGTTGTTTTGGTCAGTCAAAAAGAACAGAGGGGTGAGATCTCACCATTTAAAGATAATCTTAAACTGTGTTTCAAACTTTTTTTTCTTTTTTGTTTAACGACGACTCATCAGAAGCAGTTGGAGTTGTTCCCCCTCGAGGGAGCGGTACTGACGAAAACACCTCCTGAAACCAGCCTTAAGCCACCACGTGATGGAGATCCAGCTGCTCTTTTGTAGTTCATCTTAAAAAGGAGTCGTGAGCGGTGTCGTTCCCCCGGTGCAGTTTTTACTCATCCTCCCCTGCCCTCCTCGCTCCCTGTGGGGCCTAAATGTGCGTCAGCAAGTTGCTCGGCGCCTGCCCGGCCTCATATCTCTTTATCGGCTCCCCTCTATTTAAAAAAAATGGGAGGATGCACTAAGTAGCAGTCAAGCATTCAAATTGAGATATTATCTTTAAACTCTCTGCTGAATTTTCTACACTATAAAATATATCTTCAAAGTTAGTTTTAATCCTCCCTTAAGTCAAATGCAGCATTAAATCACCCTGTATCTATTTAAGATGAGCAACTCATCTATTCATTATTTGCTCTGCGACATTTTTTTTCTTTTTTGCAAAGCTGAGTCAACTGGAGGGAGCTTTGTTTGAGTCATCAGAAGTTCTGTGTGTTCGCTCGGGCCCAGCGTCTGTGAGCAGAGGAGGAGGATGTGGGCCACCCTGTCTCCCGTGGGGTCCCTCCGTGTCCCCTGACTGACTTCAGACCTAGCGTGCAAAAAAAAAAAAAAAATGTCCACATGCCTGCGTCTTCTCTGCAGCCTGGGGGGAACGCAATAATGCCTCAGCTAATCCGATTAACATTAACAATCCCACAGGGGGAAATCGCTGCACATCTGCAACCGGCAGATAATTACGTTTCCCTCAGATGTTTGTTCCTTCCATTTTTTTTTTGTGTGGGTTTGTTTTGGTGCTTGTTTCTCGTCAGAAAACCTTAAATTTTTACTATTTAGTCGGCTTGGTTGGGCACAATTTCAACGTGTTTCTAGGTCTTTGTCAGATGGATTAGTTTCTTTAGGCTACTCCAAGGATGTTTTTTAAAAATGACACTGCACTGTGTGTTCTGTCATGTTGATCGTTTAATGACAAAGCAGAATCATTCTCAATCGTTCTCAAGGCAGCAACTTCCTACACCTTTGTTTTTGATTTTTTTTTCTCAGGCAGAGGGATTTTTTTTCCATCTGGATGGAAAACCCTGTCAGCCGGATGCCACTCTTTCTCATTTCTTTCTTTGTTTACAAAAGCAATGTGTTTAAAAAAAAACCCGCCTCTGTCCTCCTGCAGGTTGGGATTCTTTATTTCCAGCCGAGTGTTTTCCGCTGCATCCTGCTGCGCTGGGTTCGACTGCTGGGTTTTGCCACCGTCTACGGGACTTTGACTCTCAAGTTGTACAGGTAACGCACAAACATTAACACACATCTACACAAAATCCATCCGTCCAGCATCGTCATCCATCACAGGAGACGCCTTGAGGATCACATTGACCTCTTTAACTGCAGTTACACTGACGTTACAGCTTAATTCCTTTGAAAGTATGAGTCTTATGAAACGTCGAGGCATTAGTTTCTTGGATAATTCATCACTATGTGCTACATGTTTCAGGGAAGAGTCACTGCCTCATTAAGTGGAAGAAGGAAATGGATAGTTAAAGTGATTAAGAAAACACGAGGTGCTTTAGCCTCAGTTTATAACCTACTGTAGGACTGAATGATGGTTGGCGAGAGACAAACTGAGAGATGAATGTTTCAGAGATCAGGGGAGGAGGAGAGACTATTGGAGGATACTGAGAGAGAGAGAGAGAGAGAGAGCGAGACCAGAGGGGGGTCATCCAGCACTGAGGAGTCGATAATGAGACAGAGAGTGGACTGTATTTAAAGTAGCGTATTTAAAATTGTTCATCTGTGGGGCTTTTTGTCAGGTGAATCTGTCAAAAAGGCATAATGCAGATGCTGATTAAGAGGATGTGGCTGAGCCCAGTAAACCCTCAGAGGTGCGAGTTAACATATTGCACAGATCAATTTTTGATGGGGGGCTCATTAGTGGCGAGGCACTGGACACTTCATCAATGTGTGTGAAGGGCAGAGCCTAAGAATAGACCAATGGCTGGTCATGTGTTTGAGCATAATTTGGAATCTGTTTCACGGTGTTTGTCTGATTCTGCGGATTTAAAAGTGTTAATCGTCATGTAGAAATGCAAGGAATTACTAAAGCATTTGACAGCTTTCTGTCATGTTGCATTAAATCAAAAATGAAGGAAAAGAACAAAAACTTCAGGACAAATATTTTTTAGTTCCTGGTTAACATTTCCATGTTACTTTAAAGACTTTATATGAGATTTTCACACTTAATACGTAATAGAAATCAAGTATATCCTCTGAAAATAACTCTGTGGGTCATGACTGTCTACAATGGGTGTAACACCCGAGTCCCACTGTCTGTGATGCTTTCAGAGTTTTCAGAGTCCTATCTTCAGTTTGTTTACATCGCCAGGACGGCCAGCTGACTCCTCCCCTCGTGTATAAAAGTTGTTTAATTGAGGGACTAGAGAAAAGAAGAATAACATACTGTACTCACTGCTTAACTGTGTTTCTAGATCACGCTCATTTCAGGTAAATTTACATGCAGTGTGAAGATACGAGCATAATAAAGATCGCTAGCATTAGCATGCTAACACAACAATGCAGCGCGAGTTGTTTTGGTTTCATGCTGGTGCTCAAGGGCGACATCTGCTGGATCAAAAAATCTCATAAAAGCCTTTAAAGAAAATACCCTACCAGCATACCCCTAGTTGCTGAAACCTACTTTTTAAAAGATGTTGAAAACCTTATTTATTTATTAAGATGAGAGACATGTTGGAAAGCAGCCATAGGTCGGATTTGAACCCAGGTAACCTGCTTTGAGGACTACAGCAACTGGGGCACTCACACTAACCACTAGGCCGCAGGTGCACCAGCCTTAGCCCACTTAGTTGCAAAGATTGCAGTCATTGCTGGTTACCCTCAATAGTTAAAATGTTGCCTCAGACAGCAGATTTAAAAAAAACAGGTTCACAGAAAGAGCTTTGAGAGGAAAAAGGGGGAAACTCTCCTTTACGATGCCGTCTTCACTGTTTCAAATGCTTCTACCATACTACATATAAAAGTATTAATTGATTTCTTGTATGAACTGATCTTCTCTTCTTCCACCACAGGGTGCTGAAAGTGTTCCTGTCCCGTACAGCCCAGAGAATCCCGTATTTGACCAGCTGGCGAGTGCTGCGTCTGCTGGGCATCATCCTGCTCATCGTCTGCTGGTTCCTGGTGGCCTGGACATCTGCCGTCTGTCAGAACCCGGACAGAAAGTTGGCTCTCATCGACGTGGGCTACACGCCCAACGGGCTGCAGTTCAGCATGTGCCTGCTGGATCGCTGGGACTACATGATGGCTGTTGGTAAGGGTGTTGTGAATAAATTCATAAGTACACTGAGCTCTGTATGGCTGAACAACAGTAAGAAGAACCATGGGTTATTTCAAGTTTCCATGGTGTGAATTCAAGAAATAATTTGTTAGGCACAGTTGGAGTTCAGTGAAAGGGAGCGTATAAGTGAGGAGGTGAAGGAGACGTCGGATGAGTTGGACAATTTGCATCCATCTACATTTGGCTAAGATCTTAGTTTGCCAGAAGTAGACATCAATCCTCTCCTCTGGTGCTTCACTCTTGGATGTTTGCCTGCGTTTTGTTCAGAGGAGTGGGGCAACCAGCCGCAGATAAAAACAGATGAGGTGTCAAAGACGCCCAGTGGGGAGCGATATCTCGAGTTTGAGGAAATCTGCATGCTGTTTTTAACGTCTGCTGACTCAGCCTCTGCAAGAGAAAAAAAAAAAAACGTGGTCCTTTTTGACTTCTGGGGAAACAGATGGACCCCCAGCAGAGCCTGCATGCTGTGCTACTGTATACTGAAAGCGCACTTTCTCTCTGTTCATTAGGAGGTAAAAATAGGCCGGTTGTAGGGAGCGGCAATTCAGCTCTGATGTCACCGACATACTGGTCATAAATTACACACAAGCACCAAGAGGCAATGAATCTCTCTGATTTACAAATCCTCACCCACATACACTCACAGTCAGGGGTTTATTTCTATTCAGTTTAAAAGTTTAACAGATGCAGACTATCATGCAAACATCTAGATTTAAACCAGTGAGGATTTATTGCTAGCTCCAAGTGTGCACAGTAAAAACTGCAGTTCCAACAATGCAACACATTTATTTGACCTAAAATATTACATTACATTTAATCACTGACTGGGACTTTTTAGTCTCCTAGAGACTACTAAAGCTGATGGAATAGGCTGCAATGTGATGTGTCTATTAGAATTAACCATTACCATTCATACACATTCACACTGTGTCTTCAGTGTCTTGAAAGACACTTTGACATATGACTGCAGGAGCTGGGGATTGAATCCCCAATCTACAAGCCACAGCACCCCCTGCCCAATAAATGCCCCTAACAGGTCCAATTGCATTTAATGCTATCTGAGATTCAGGTTAAGGGAAATCATGGTCACTCAAACGGGACAGACTAACAGTTAAAGCAGACAACACAGTAAATGTCAAAGAGAAATGTGGGGGAAAAGCATCCTGTTTATTGATATGCAGGTGGCTGCCTAGGAGATGTTACATGGGGTTGCCATGGAGGAGCACGGGGGATTCATTTGTCAAGAGGGAACAACCACAGTTGTTACTATTGGTCCTGATAGCTTCTGTTGAACAGGGTATTTCCTTGTATACCTGTGCTGTACAGCGGTCTGGTCAATGAAAGCACTGAACTGTACAGTGGCTTGTCGGTGGGTGCATGTCCCTTCTTGCACTGCAATGCACTGCATACAGATATTTGCTTGGTCTTTATTTTCATTGTGTCCAACGCTTCGCTCTCATTCTTCTTCCCTCACAGCTGAGTTCCTCTTCCTGCTGTGGGCGGTGTACCTGTGTTACGCTGTGAGGACGGTGCCATCGGCGTTTCACGAGCCTCGCTACATGGCCATCGCTGTTCACAATGAACTTGTCCTGTCAGCGATATTCTACGTCATCAGGTAGGTACTCATCCTAATGGTGTTTTTTTTTTTTTTTTGCTTTGTATGGTAAAAAAAGAACAGCTATGTCTTCCAAACCAGTGCCCATGATACTGTGGTATGTATTTGTGCATTTCACATTAAGTGGCTCATTAAACATAGGCAGCCACAAGAAGATGTTTTAATCAATATCAATTGTCTTTTATATCTAATAGACCTGCTACAGAAACACCCATCCATCTAAGGCTCAAAGGAGGATAAATGTGAATTATTCCATACCACATCATCTCTCCTCAACATGCAGATACTGTCACTGACATTCTCAACATTTACTAGTTCCACATTTAATATAAAAGTCAACGATTTGATCTTTCCTGTCATTTTGACGGTTACATCCTCCAGTACAGTTACTCATTTCCATCAGATATAGGCGACCGTGAGAGGCTCCATTCCTCTGGGAGTTGTTTTTTTTATTGTAGTGAGATCGTCCCCCTCCCTCAAGTCTACATGTCAAATCGCTGCTCCATGCATTTATAAATGAGACGTTTCAGCTGACACCGCCACAGCCATTCCTAGCTGGAGTCCTCCTAATTGAGAGCTCAGCTCCATCACATTTTTAAATAATGAATCATGTCAGAATGTTGTTTTTTTTTTCAAGGCAGCATAAATAGCTAAATTATTGGCAGCCGTATTCCAGTTATAAATTAACATCCATTACTGAAAAATGTGTGTCCAAGACGTTTAACCTGATGGTTTCTTGGGCAGGGGGGGTAGAGCTTTCATATTCCTGATTATATATCTGGATTAGTTATTACTATGCCTCTAATCTGCCTCTAATCTGCCTCTTCAGCCTTGTTGTTAGGCTGTTCTCTGCAGAAAACTGCCAGACAAGACCGCCCCGATAAATTAGAAAGTTGCATGGTGTGGCTAGTTATTCTGACTGCCTGCCACCAGAGACCACGCTGCACACTGGTGCTTGTTAGAGGCATACCATCTCCTTTTGTGTTTCTCACAAAAGCTGCTGTTTGATCCCACAGTGACCAGTTAAAGCTCAGGCTTTCCTGTTCACTGTGATTGTCATGAGGTTTTAGCCATGTCCAGGTGTGAACGGGAAGCTGAGAGTAAAGTGTAATAGCTGGAGGTCACAGCATGGGTGTTTTCAGTGATAGGAGACAGCATGCCAAGGTTATTAAATCCTCATCTGTGCACACAAAACATGAATGAAGGAAAGGGTTTAAAGCTCTGGCACGTTTCAAATGCTGGACCTTCACCTTCATTCATGCCTCGAAGCTATTACCACAGTAACTGTTTGTTAATTAGCCATTTACCGACTTCAACAACATAATGAGCCCGCTAGATGACATTAGCTTGGATCGAGGCTCTCTAGTGGTTGAATTAGCATCTGACAGGACATACCTTCATATCCTCTGTGCACATGAGGTCTCACTGTGTTCAAAGCCTGTTAGTTCTTTATATGTAAAAGGCTAGAGCAGCTACTATTGTTTCTGCCAGTAATTATCTCCTGTTCCACCAACTGCTGCGCCACAGCCAGCCTCCTGTATTACCGTTTGATGTATAAATAGGCTGAATATTGTGACCAGATCAAGGTCAAACCCCTTCAATGTGAATCCAAAGGAAAGAATGAGACAAATATTGTGTCCTTGCCAGCAGAAGGATCACCCGTGTGGAACATTATATGTGGAATTGACGCCTAGACAGACAGTGTATAAATCTACTTTGGCTGAAAACACATTAAGTCTGCTGGTCTGTGTCTCTGCCGGCTCCATCTGTAGCTAAGAGGTTCACTGCAGATGGAGCAATGTGTAAGAATATCACAGCATAATTTAATCAGAGTCCACTGCATTTACCGTCTGCGCATTTTGAATTTTGACATCAGCTGTCAAAGGGATGTTTGGGATGTTTAAAAACCCTTGTCCTGTAAAAAGTGCAATGAAATACAATGGGCACGGTGAGATTTAGAAGCTTGATGAATTACAGGCTTTTTGGTTAATGTACTGTTCTATAACCAACACTAATGCTATCTACTACCAGTAAATTATGCTATAAATCTTAGCTATAGCTATATAGATATCTCTGCTTTAGATGTGATACTTAATTTCTCTCTTCTTCCTGATTCTGACTTCCTGTTTTCATTCTTCTTTGTTTTCTCTACACCCTGACAGGTTTATTCTTGCTCCAGAGCTCCACCCAGACTGGATGCTACTACTGTTCTTCACCCACACCCACCTAACAGTAACAGTGACACTGGGTCTACTTCTCATCCCTAAGGTAAACCTTTGAATGATGCTCTACTTTCATAAAAAGAATGAAATTAAGAAATGTTGCTTTGTTTTGTTGAAAAAAATAATTAATCTGCCAAAGAGGGGCCCGGCAGAAAAGGTTTGGGAACCACTGGGTTAAACTAAATTGTGTTCAATTCAAATTCTGCATTTCAGACTTTTTGTTAAGCTATCTTAACTTGGTTTTGACTGTGTGAAATAAACAAAATTATATAGCTGTCATTTATTTCTATTTTGACAAAAAAATAATGTATTTATCCTTTTTTAAATGTAAATGTTGTAAAATATAAACTTAACATTTGCATAACATTATGTGATTCTGGCATTGAAAGCAGCCTATATTGTACAGTAAAACGTTATTATCTTTACAATTGTTTCACAAGAAATTTGATTTTTCCTGCAAAATGGTAAAAAGCAAAAAAAAATTGTCCTTACTTCCACTCATCCAGTTCCTGTTTGGTGGGACCCACGCGAGAGACGATATAGCCTCTGAGGCCTATGAGGACGAGCTGGACATGGGTCGTTCTGGGTCGTATCTGAATAGCAGCATCACGTCAGCGTGGAGTGAACACAGTCTGGATCCTGAGGACATTCGGGTAAGTGGTGTTTCCTTCCAACTTTGTTTTTTATTATATAACCTGGTTACATCTTTTTAAATCTTGAAAAAAAAAATACTGAGCCATGGCAGTTTTTTATTGCAGACACCAGAGGAAATGGGCCATCTCAGTTCTATTAATGGCTGTGGCGTAAGGTCTTGCAACAGTGTTTGGGAAAAACGTACCAACGTGAGCAGAGATTTCTGTTTGTCTGTTAGAGCTGAAGAAGTCTCTCTTCCAACAGAGGAAAATGTCAAACCTATTTACAAAATGGGCATAGAGACAGAAATACAACAGATACAAGACCTGGGCTTTGAGGCTGTTTCAGACCTAACATTTAAACTCACCTTATTTGATGCTGTCCAAGACTGTCCTGTTTTTGCTTTATTTCAGCATGTGATAATCCGTAACTGCATCATCAAAAAAACGTTTGTAGTCGCGTGTCTTGAATTTGTACTGCATGTTCTCTGTGCAGTAGAACGTCTGCTTTTTTGTGACATTGATTTGACTAGAAAGGCTCCTTTTTAGCTGTAGAAAAGTCAAGCTCTAAACAAGCGACTAATCACTTACATTTTTTCTTTTATGAATCTCTAGGAGGAGCTGAAGAAACTTTACTCCCAGTTGGAGATTTACAAGAGGAAGAAGATGCTGGCAAACAACCCTCATCTCCAGAAGAAGCGGAGCTCCAAGAAAGGTTTGGGTCGGTCGTTGATGAGGCGCATCACTGAGATCCCAGAATCGGTGCACCGGCAATGCAGCCGTGAAGACAAGGAGGTTGGGGAACATGGTAGTAACCGTAACAGCATCTGCATGTTGAAGAAGAACCCCTTTGATCAGACTCACCCAGGAAAGCCACCAAAGGAGGAGACGCTGAAGAACAAGGTTTTTTCCCTCAAGAAATCCCATAGCAGCTACGACCATGTTCGTGACCAGAGTGAAGACTCCAACAGTTCAGCAACTGACAAGATGGAGGTGGCCACCGCTGAAGGTTCTCTCCTGGATACACTGATGGGCAAGAAGTTGGTGAAGAAGAAGTCCGATGAGAACTTAAATGCCCCAGTGAGTCTACGGAATCAGTTCCTTTGGTCTGCAAGTCAGCAAGCGCCCATAATCTCACTGCAGACAAGAAACCAATTCCTTCCAAAGCCTCAATGCTGCAGAAGTCTCTCAGTGTCATAGCCAGCGCCAAAGAGAAGACTTTGGGTTTGACCGGAAAGAGCCAGAGCCCAGAGGAGAGCAATAGGAAGAGTCAGCCAAAGATCAAAGACGCAAGGGTCAATGAAGAGCCAGAAAATGAATGCCAACCCAAGATGATTATCAGCCAGTCGGTCGAGTACAAACAGACTGCGACAAAAGGCAGGATCATGAAGCAGCCGGTGAGTGGCAGCCAGCCTACCATCTGTTCAGATCCTGCCAAGGGAAAAGACCTCTATGATCTCTCTGAAGTGTGTCCCTGGGAAGTGGAGGATCTTCCAACTCCGTCTGAAAACAAGGTCCAAAAGCATGTCTCAATTGCACCAGAAGAAACCACAACAGTTCATGGAGGTAGCACCAAGGGAGGCAAGTCTCAGCAGCAGAAGCAGAAATCTTCAGATCAATCTCCAACGAGTGGAAGACCCTCGAAAGACATTCAGAGAACAACAGCAGTACGAGCGGATGTATGTCCTTGGGAAGATGGGAATGACATTCAAGGGGGTCGAGAAGGAGGCTCAAAGCTGCATCCAACAAGTCAGGCTAGCAAATCTGCAAAGACCCAGCAGCCTCATTCTTCAACAGAGAGCACCAAAACATATCAGGCAGAGGTTTGTCCATGGGACTTCGAAGAGCCGCAAAAGACAACAGAGTTAGCTCGTTCACCAGATTTGACGAAAAAAAGAAAAGACACCTCTCCTGTGGATGGGAAAGGGAGAAGTACCCTTCCAGAATCATCCAAAACAGGAGTCTCTCTCCAGCCACCAACTGCAAAAGTTGAAGTATGTCCTTGGGACTACGACAGTACTACAGAATCTCCCAATTCTGGACAGAGGACACCCAGTCCATCTCGGGCGTCCAAAACCAAGGAATCCCCTTCGAAAAAGAAGGGTTCCACTTCCACAAGAACGGTTGAGAAAGAGAAATCAAAAGACGCTGATGATGAGAAAAGTAGAACAAAAGCTAAGGACAAGAGTAAGTCTTCAGAGAAACACATGAGCCAACACAAAATGGTTGAGGTATGCCCATGGGATGTAGAGAGTCAAGAGGAGGTGCAGGTGGTAGAAAAAAGGAGAAGTGCAAATGTTGGCGCAGCCAAAGCAAAGCCTGTGGAAGTCTGTCCTTGGGATTTTGAGGATACGTCAGATAAAAAAGGTACAGACAAAAGTGCTTCTGTAGAGAAACAGAGCAGTCCAAATCCTAAAGGTGGGGCTGTGAGTGCTGCTAAAAAGGCGGATGTTTGTCCCTGGGACTTTGACGACAGCACGTCGGGCAAGAAGGCATGACACTAAACCTAAATGGACCACTGAGATTATACTTATAGATGTATACTTTTTTTTCAGTTTGAAATTGTTAAATATAATCTCTTACTATTAGCGCGGTGACTCGGAAGAAACGTTGATCAAGTTCCACAAGTTGCCTTCTTTCCGAGATATTTGTTCATGTTTTACCTATTTTGAAAATATGTAAAATGTACAACAACAACAAAAAAAAGTCAAGATGAGCATTCCAGATTATTGCAGGAAAATCCTGAAGTTAAATCTTAGACAAATTATGCAACTTTTGATTCAGTCTTTTCACTTCATAAGCAATTTTGGAAATTTGCAGTTAACATGTTCTGTATTCAGTTCTTACATTGTTTTATGTGTGTGCATAAGCATAATCACTTAATGGACTAGGATATGACATGGCAATAGAAAGTGTTTGGATAAAATAGGATGACATTTAGATTTATGTGCAAAACAGCAAAAGTGAAAGCCAAAGATTAAGTGAATATTTGCAAAGAAAGGTGTTGGTTTATAGTTAATTTAATAATTTGTATCCAACTCTTGGCATTGAAAGAAGAACTCAGTGAGGAAATAAGTCTATTGCACTTTAGCCAAATCCATCAATTAAGAGGACAAAATATTTTCTTTTTGTTCATTTCATGTCTTCTTTATTTTAATCACAGCATGTTACAGGATATCAAACACCGACCAAACATGACATGTTTTTATTCTTTTGGTTAGATCTATTTAATTGTAGTTCTCGGCAGATTAAAATGCTTCCAAGTCTGCAGAGAAGAACTGTATGTGCCTAACTAACTAGCATTGTCTTGTACCAGTCTGAAGTGAAGCAAGTGGTTTCTTCTTCAGTATTTTGTGACAGTGAATTATATAAACAGCATGCACAGCCAGGTATTGAGAGTAGCTGGACCTGAACATTTTTTTAAACTTAAGCAGTTCATGTTTTGACAAAAATCTAATGTTGTTTTTAGTTCCTTTTTTTAAGTTCAGAGGCACTCATTTTCCTGCTTTCATATTTCCACATGCTTCGTCTGGGTTGTAAGCGTTATATAGGAGCAGCTTTAACATGAATGTGTGTCAAATCCTCTCATGTACAATGTAAAAAGTAAGGAAATAATTTGCACCAGCTTTATTTATGTATCCAGCATGGGTCTTTGTGTTGACTTGCACCAAAATGTGTGTTTCTCGTGTGTCTGTGTACACAAAATGGTTAATTTCCAGTAAAAATGTCGAGCAGTACCTGAAAAATTTATCTCATAAATGATAAAAGCCCTGGCAGTGGGTTCAACATGTCTCAAACACAAACTAAATCGGTCAACAGGTCAACAATTTAACTCAACAAATAGCTGATTGAACCTGTTCCTACCTAACAAGCTCTTCTTAGTTGATACGTCCAACCAAGGGAATCAGCTGTTAGTGACCACAACAAAAAAAAAGCTTGGCTTATTGAAGGTATTGTTGGCAATTCAAAGATCTGGAAAGTCCCATTGTAATGTACCTTCGAGAGTAACTACTGCCGTGTTGTTCAGACATTTGAAATGCTTTAAAGGAAGAGAGAAAAAAAACGGTTATTATGATGAAAAATAGTCAGATAATGTGTTATTTAAATATATTTGGCAGATTAACGAACATATAACACAGGAACGCTGGGCTAAAGCCAGGAAAAAGGTATTTTTTTATTTAATGGGGTTGAACTGGTTAAAACATTTTGTTGATTTGTTAGATAACTTGGTCTTAAATTTAGGCCGTATATAGGAGTTGGACTTGGCCACTAGGAAGTCACCCATTGGTTTATGAATGTTCATTTTGGAGGCCTCCAATTCAACATTATGGCCACCACCATCTTGGTATTTTAGATCCAGAAGTGATCATATGTGGACAAAAAAGGAGATACACATAGCTACGTCTCTCTCTTGGTTGAAAGGCTTCTGTGTCAAACACATGAAGCCACGCCCTAAAGCAAACCTCCCTCCAGTTTACCCTCAATTGCACCATAATAAGAGGTCATATTAAAGAGGATTTTTAAGTAACAAATGAGACCTCACACTCACAGGGGAAGTGCTCAATTTCTAATCTGGTCCTGCATGAAAGGAGTTATTTTTCTAATCCATGGAGTCGACCCCCTGCTGGTCAGTAGAAAGAATGCAGGTTTAAGGCTCTTCTGCGTTGGGTTCACTTTTAAGAGGCTACACTGATATATACAGTCAAGGACTAAATCTGAGACAAGTCACAGGTCCTGACTTGTCAGACTTTGTTGTATTTATTTTGTCATGTTTACAGATCTTCGGGAAGATTTCTACCAATAACAAATTATTCACGACTATTTTGTTTTAACAAAACTGTAATTATACTGCCATTATGTGATGTCAGTGTAGTGCTCAATCGCTTTTTTTTCATGTGCGTATTGAGGGTTTTCAAATTGTGTAATGCATGTTTCGTTCACTTTAAAACTTAAGCCCAGTTGATTGATAAAGATGATCATTATAGAACTATAGGCTCTGCGATGTGGCTGTCAGTTAAAAATCAGACTGAACCTTTGAAAGGTTTTATTTGTTCAGTGTTTTGTATCAAAATGTTGAAATATTCATCATGCACTATCCATCCTGGGGTTACAGCAAAAAAAAAGAACTCTCCCTCTTATATTTAACTGTTGAACAGACGACATTATCACAGTTTGTGAGGAAAACTATGTATCAATATAGCATCTACAGCAGATTACAGTATATTGTGAGAATAACACGGTATCACTGAATGTTGTCACTGATTGTTATTATCTATAATTGCTGTCAAATTCCTAAATATCCAAACTCAGCAGGACTTATTACTAATTGTGGTTTTGAAAAAAAAAAAATCCTTCTTGTGAGTGAGAATTTTCCAAAGTCTTAATATAGTCGCTAAGTTTGTTTGGCACAAGTCAAATCAAAATAATCCAATGTGTAGCTAATTGTGTTAGACGTGCAACAAGACTCTATACAGCTAAGCTCTATAAACAGGATTTAGATGCTATGTCTTATACCTTCGGAGGAGTTATGTCAGCCGTTCACCTGTGGGTGCCTCGCATGAAATATTTCAAACGTTGGGGTGTGTTTTTGCCTGACGGCGTGAGATTTGTCAGCACCTCCGCTTTATGAGCTCCATAAGGATGGTGTCTGAAGGAAGACTGTCAGCGTGCATGGAATGATTGTAATGCTTTGATGGATCTATTCAATATTTATGAACCAGATGTTAGACGTCATCCATCATTTGCATTGTGGTACTGTGTGCACGATCATATCACACCATGGTGGTGGTGGTGGGGGGGGAGGGGGGGTACCTGGTACATTTCAAATCCCCACATTTTGTAAAAGCGACTTTAGTCTCCTGAATCACTGCCGCGTTGGATTATACTGCCCTCTGTGATAAATAACGTGTATATTTCTAAAAATGTTTAATTTTAAAAACAGGAGAAGAGCTTGTTTTTATGCTTTCAGTCTTTAACGCAGCTTTACTTTGTCACAAAATAACCATAGCAAGAAATATATCATGACATGCACAAGCTTCATGGTGTCAAACTGATGTCTTTATTATTATGTCTTAAACTTTTTACACACTTAGCCGATGAGATTTTACAGATAGCTGGAGCACAAAGAAAACACAAAAACAGTCAAAGAAACAAAAACAATGCAATCTCCCAGCTTTGGCATAGTACGTCACATTTTCAGTCATCTGTTTCATTTGCGCAATTTCTGACAGTTCGCTTGCTGTAGCACTTCTCAGTTCAGTCAGTCTAAAGCGGTCCGTGTATTAAAATGTGTAGACCTAACCAGTGTCTTACTGTCTGTTTCTCTGGAGATTCTCATTGTATTTTTGCCGTATCACGGATGAATCAGTGAAAGTTTGAACCTCGAATTGAGACCGTTGTCCTCGTACCATGTTGACATAGACGATGCTGTGTCCTGTAGCTCTCTGTCGAACAATCGGAGCATCTGTTTGTTAGCTGCTTTCATTTCAAACCTCACTTTCCCCTCTCTCTTATTGTGACCAAAGTCACCCGACGGCAAATACAACTACTACTATTGCTACTACTACTATTCAATGCTGTTACGTTGTAAATCTTGTGGCTTCTGCATGAATTCAAGAAAAAAAAAATGACTAGGACCGATGTTTCACTGCCCTTGAAAAAATTGATCTTTTATGGACTGTTACCAGTTGTATAGTGAGTGATACTGTCCCTAACCCACTGTATTATGTGCTTGTTATAACTATTGCTCTATGACAAGCTTATAGCATCAATATATGGGAATATTTGGTAGATTTATATTGTGTTATATTGTGATAGCATGTACATAAAAGATACCTCCTCTGCAATAAATATTTATATGAAAACTAAGTGTGTGCTCAGTGTGTTTGTAGACGTTTTCTGCAATTTGCATTTCAAACAAAAAATTGAAAAGTGCCTGCAGAGAACCTTGAAGTAAAAATGAATCTCTTCTCCTTCTTTTTCGGGGGATACAACATTTCTATTCCCGTTACAATTTGATACTAGACACTCCCATGATGCATTTGGGCAGAAATAATCCCCTTCTCAGGTTTCTTTGCTCTTTCCTCGTGCAGACGTGCAGGTGGAGAGACCCAGGCTTTTAAAAGCATTGTGCATCATAACCACTTTGGGCTATGTGTGTCTTGGCGACTGTCCTGAAATGCTTTTATGGCTTGTTGTGGGTTTTTATTTTTTTTTGGACAGAGATCAATGGAGGCCGCGTCGGAAGTGAGCGGTACGAGATGGTATCAAATGCTGACTCCAGACCTCTGCAGAAAAACTGAGTGCTGTTATTTCCCAACTCCAAAATAGTTACAGGCCACAGTGGAATTATTTATTCCCAGATCCAGATATAGAATAATTCTTTGAATACAGAATAATAAATTCAGCATCATCTATTATTCACAATTATTTTTGTCTCTGTAACTACGGCAGTGATGCAGCAAAAAAAAACGTAAAAGGGCACTGTGTAAAGCAAACATGTTAGCATTGATTCCTGTTTACAAGAGCACTTTAGGAGCCTTTATAATAAATAGAAGATCAATACAGGCTGCTGTGGAGAACTAAAATGAAGACACATCAGAGAAGAAAGCAGCTAACTTTGAGGGAAAAAATCTATGACATGAGGAAACAGGAACCAATGAAGTTATATTTGATATCATTAAGACAGCAGTTTGAGTAATCAACTGTCATATAACAGTTAAAGCTGCTATTAAGGATTGTTTTATATTTTACCATGAATCAATAGCTTCAATGTGGAAGGGGTCACTCAAAGAGTAGAAACCTTATTTGAATCTTTCTTTTGCTTTTCACAGATTTATTGTGAGTTTCATGGAAATAGAAATAATTTCAAAGTTTAGAGGGGAGTCTGTTTGGATAATTGTTAGATTGAGGTCAGAACAAAATCCTGCATCCTAATGATGAGGGAGGAGTGGGAGTGGGAGGGGGCGGGATGCTAAGGACATCTGGTGTGTCATGGTGGACTTATGACTCAACTGGTGTCAATCTTTTTAATATTTTAAACGTTAATATAGCAGATATCAAACACATACAAATTAAGTTGATTAATGACTTTGTAAAAAGAAAAAAAGGAAGAGTGAAGTGAAACTCCCTCTCAATTTGTTTTGATGAGCTCTGTGTTCACGCTGACAGGATGGCACTTCCTTCAGCCTGTCGATGTTTCACTCAGAGGCTCAAAAGTGAATCTTAAAATAAATTTAACAAACCTGTAGCTTGGAGGAAACCTCATCTGTTTTTCTGCTAAACTTCCTTTAATGCTGCCTAAATAAATATGATCATTTTTCATTTTAAGAGCATATACCTTTAACAAAAGAAGTAAAAGTAAAAAGTACCCCATACTGAACCAATCCCTCTGTCCCAGTTGAAACCAAGATGCAGCTGCCGAAGACACATCCAACACTTCCTCCAAAACTCAGGGTCGCCTGTGGTGCATGTAAGAATCACAGCAGGAGGGGTGTGTGCCTCTTTGTTGTCTGTACGGGACAGCAGGACACTTCCTGCAGCATGGCAGGACTTATTTTTAACCATCAGACAGTGATGGGTGCATGAATCACAGCCCTTTGAGGCAGAGCCATGTGGGTAGAGATGGAGGGTGGTGGTGGAGGAGGAGATGAGACGAAGCTGATCACTTGGCACAAGTCTGCATGCTCCGTCGCTGACTCATCTGTCTTTCATATGGAGGGATGATGAGGAGGGGGAGGAGGGGGAGGGGGTGGGATGCTCAGGACAATCTCGTGTATCATGGTGGATTCATGACTCACACAGAGAAGGGGAGTGTGTGTGTGCGGGGAGGGGGGGGGGCAACTAGTGGGAGATTTGTATACACTTAATTCTGTGGGTTCTTCTTGAATTGTGCTCTTGTGAAAAAACTTTGGCATTTAGCTTTTACTGTACAAACAACATTCCTGAGTGAGCTCTCTCTTTCCTCATGTGGAGGCAGGTTACGGGTCAACAGGGAAGGGTTCACCTGAAAATAATCTCGTATGAAATTATTTTGAGCCTCTGTGGGAAACATAAAGAAACTAAAGGAAGGGCCATCCCATCAGTGAACACAGAGCACAAACCAAGAGGAGGACCCAATTGCAGAACTAAAAATATTTATTCAAACAAAAAGGCAAAAATACTTAATTCAAATCCAAAACGTCCAGAAAACTCCACTTAGGGAAAGGAAGCACAGGTACATAGTCGAAGAACCACAGGGAAGAAGCTGACATGGAGTACAATCTGACACTGACACTAACATCCAACATGCTGCATTCATGTGGTGTCGGACACATCGGAAAAACAAGTTTCCAAGTTGTAAAAACTGCTCAAGGCGGAACAACAACTCGGAAACTCGGAAAATAAATAAGGTGCCCGACTTGACGTCAGAATCGTCCAATCTGATATGAGTAGATACATCTAGATACTGATTCTAGATACCAGCAAAAGTGGATTAAAATCTATTTATTTAAACATCTTTCCTGTAAGAATTTGATGAAATGGTGTCACCCAAATCATTTGCTGAAAAGACTGTAAAAAGCTCTGCATAGCTTGTAAATGACCCGTGTTTGTTTTTTTTAAACACAGCATTGCATTGAAAGAGGTCAGTAATCTTTAGGAGGACTGACTCTTGTGCAGAAAACCCAAATTGTTTCAGATCTTCTGCAGATTTTGGGACATTTACTCCTCTGATGCAGCACCAAGCGTGGTTGTGTCTGACGTGCTGGAGATCTCCACCCGAAAGACACCCACCAGTCTGTGTTCCTCCCTCTTCTGAGGCCACGCTCTGGTCTGGACTCCCACACAGCTTCCCTCCATCGGTAGAGGAGCCCCCTCCTGATGATGTGAGCACCCATGACTCACACAGAGCCTCGGTTACGCTCCTGCTCCTCCACCTCCACAGCTGCAGGGCAGAAAACCCACAATGCACACATTAACACATTTCTACATCAGCATGCTGGTATTCACTCACAGCTCGATTACTTACGCAGGCATGAGTGTGTGTAATGAACGGGTCACACAATGAGTGATTCATGCACTCGTCAAAAAAATCCACATGAACAACTGGAAACAAAGCTCCTCAAAACCTTGAAATCTGCGTCACTCCGCTGCTGATTTATGAAGGTAGATTGGTTTAAACCACTGATTGACGCAACAGTAGAAGATGTCAAGCTGTGTAAACATCCATAAACACCCCTGTACAACTGATGTCATCGAAAACTCAAATCAGAACTGACCTCTATTCAATACCTTCTGAACAGACGTATTCCAGAGGAACAATGTCATCCTCACATGTCATTTAGAGGATGAAACTCAAAAGAAAAGGTGAAAAGGTATCATCCTTACACAGCTACAGGTGAAGCACTGCGTTTCTGTGAACGTGTGATTTTGATTCAGAAGAACTTTATGGAGAATAAACCAAAGATATCGTTAATGATGTAGGATAGGATAGGATAATACTTTATTGATCCCCAGAGGGGAAATTCGGGCACAGACAAGTAAGATCAAAATACACATTAAACAGAATAGATAAGATAAATTTAAATTTAAATTTAAATTTAAATTTAAAAAAAATAAATTAAAAAAATTAAAATTAAAAAATGTAGCGGTGGTGTCTGGGATATTCCGATAAATCCACATCCCTAAAGCCCAACACTCCTAAGACTAACTGTGTGTGTGTGTGGGGGGGGGGGAGGTACTTGTACTTATGGGCCTGAGAGTGAAGGTATGTCTGAGTTAGCCCTCATTCTTCACAGCTCAATCTGCTA